TGTATTAAAACAACATGAGGACCTTTTTTTTAGAAAATATTTAAAGCGGATCCCTATCTTCACCCATTGTCCTTTATTTGCATTTCAAATAGGTGGCAACTTTAGTTATCACCCAAAAATATTGTGGCCCGTGTAACATAACAAACAGATGTATGTGGCCCGATAGAAAAAAAGGTTGAGTACAGCTGATCTAAATATTGAAGTTTACTAATGATAAATTTACATGCTAGTTTAAGAGCGGCTGCTACTGCTAATAATAATTTAAAAATTGGGAAGACAAAAAATCTTTTAGTTTAGAAGAATTTAAATATTTAACTTCAATTTCTAAACAGAATTTCCAAGTATTATATGAATTTTGTGAACCAATAAAACAATATGGTAACTTAAGAAACATTGCTCAAAAAGATTTACTTGCTTTTCTTGTTAAACTAAGACATGGATTGTCAGATGAGTTCTCAATCTGATATAAATATACAAAAAGAGGCAATATAAAGAGCCAATGCTCCAGTAAAATTAACCATGTAATTCAATCATTATTCATTTCCCTAAATCCTACTTAGACCTACCGTATAACGAACTTTTTTTGTAATGAATAAATGTATGACTCTATATGTGAAAGATTTTTTGATAAACAACTCCAAAGTTAAAAGGCAATTATTTTCTATATTTTGCCAACAATTTCAACATTTTGTTGATTTTTTCACCTTACATATTCAAACGCAATTACCCTGTAACTACGAAATAATTTTGACTGCCCTCAAATAGTACAAGGGGTATATTTCTAATCCAACACAGTGTGTCAAATTATCACTAGTAATACCACTAGAGGTCAAAAAATTTCCTGATATTAATTTGACCTCGCGTGGTATTCGGTAAGAAAATTCCACGCCGAATTATGGTTGAAAATTAAATATTTTTAAAATTTATTTTTCGTTTCTCAACAATGCAAATTATTTTCTCCAAGTCACCAGTGAAACATAAAAGGTGTTGTGGCCTTGATTTTTGAGTTGTCATGGTAACTAAGTGAGACCCTAACCTCGAATATAATTTCAGTTTTGAAGTTGTCAAGCGGCCCGACGTAAAAAAATGTTTCGCTGCAATTATTTAGGCCTTCAAATTGCTTATTTCTACTCATTGTAGTTGCATGGGAATACCATTTGAAAATAGAAAATAGTATATTCTTTAATTTTACGTAAGTTTTGAATAACTACAAGTGGTAGAAAATTGTTTTTCTGCGTTTTTATTAACATACGTTATGAGCGCTTTAAAATGGTATGAAATTCATAACCAGCGTCAGCAAGCATCAATCGTAGGAGGCTGTGATCATTGTATTTTGACAGTTCAAAACATTAAATAACTCGCGTTTTGTTGCGATAAAGAATATTGCACAGCAAGTAAAACCAACAAAATTACCTATTTGTTTAAAAATGAATCGATTTGAAAATCATACGCTATGCAAAATATGCGTGAAATTGTCTGATGTAATAATCAATCATTGCACCATGACTTACTTACTCGGATTAATAGAGGATTGTGGCTCCAACTTGAAAAACGAAAATTTGTTCCGAATTGTCCACGAATATTTGCACCTAAACTACGCAAAATTCAAAGTGCTGAATGGGAAAAAGGTGAATAAATTAGTGTCTAAATATTATATATATATTTTATTAGACATAGACACATAATTCAAAGCATCCAAAGTCCTGCATTTTCGCCATTAAGAAGAAAAGAAGTGGCCGAAGAATATAGAAAACACCTTAGCATTGTAACTAAAATGTATCAAAACTAAACCTATTATGTGAACAAATAAAAACCAGTCTGTCAAAAATGGTCTGTTATTGTAAACGTCAAAAAATTTCCAGTATAATTCGCTGTTGGGTACCCCACGAGAAAAAAATTTCCACTAAAATACCTCCGTTGCCATGGTGATCTGTCAAAAACACGTATTTTGATTGGTTCAAAATTACAGGTGTGGAATTTTCTAATATACACTATTTCTCTGAAACATATCTACTTATGTCAGCATATTTATTGTTTAAAATTCATATATTTGGTACATATTAAGTTATATTTGGAAAACTAGTCATAGGATCTAATTTTACCAATAAGAATTTTGAACGAGTACATCGAGTACTATACGATATCAAATATTGAGAAACTTTGACGGTGATATTTTTTTTTTTTTCGGTATTTCAGCTATTTTTGTTCGGTGGAAATACCTACTTTGACCAAAAAATATCTACCGAATCATTAATCACCCTGTAAGGGACAATATTTTAATTATAGTAGTTATATTTTTACTATACAGAATGAGCAAATAACTTCCAAATATATTTAAGGGTGATTTATATTGTCCATTTTAAAGAATTAGGGATTTCTAACTTCAACACCTTGTATCTTAAAATACATCAAGTAATTTAACACATGAAAAATTTAGACATTTTGGCGGTACTCTCGTTCGCATAAGAAAAGTGCTTGGATTAGGGCTACAACTACAGTACTGGAAAATTAGTCTATAAGGTTTGGCAACGTTGTGTTCTAAGAGCATCAAGAAGAATAATTATGCGATTTTGCTCTTAGCACAGTGGCGCATCGAGAATTTTCCTCTGGGGGTTTACTCAATGCGTTGATAAATTTACAAACCCATGCAAAACATTTTGTACAGAAGTTAATTTAAGACTTAAGAACAGCATTTGTTAATCGTGCTTAATTTATAAACTTCGAGTTATTCGAAACTTAGACCATTTATTAATGCTGAGTTTTAGTTCAAATTATAAAGTAAGAAATTTCAGGTAGGGTAAAATAAATATACACTCGTAAGAACAATGGAAAACATTTTTATTAAAAAACTTTGTAGAAAAATGTACATGTACATGTTGTCACCTGTAAAAAATTGTGGAGAGTAATCGTAAAATTTATATGGTATACAGGGTGTTAAAAAAAAGTGTCACAAAATAAAACGGGGGGTAGTATGGGCCAAAATAAGCAGAAAAGTCTTAATAAACATATGTCCGCTAATGAATGGTTTCAGAGATACGGAGTGTTTTGTATCATTTTTTGATTATCTTTTTTCATTCTCAAAAACTTGCTTTTCTTATCGGAGTCTACCGATGTTTTTTCATAGATACTATTTGCAGTTATTATTTTGTTGTGGGTGAATAATTTTATAAATTTTCGTTATGCCTGTTTACACTAATATTGAATTAGCTGACATGCATTTTATGTACGGTCGGGCAAATGGCAATGCTTTGAAATGGAGGGAGGGCACTTTGAACATCTCATTTAACTCTATGTTGTTATTGATTGTTTATAAATATCATTGTTTTTTTATAATAATAAAAAATTGTTATAAACACAAAATGGTCCGTATCTCCGAAACCGTTAATTTGCGGTCATATATTTATTAAGACTTTTCTGCTTATTTTGGGTTATACTATTCACCATTTCATTTTGTGACACTTTTTTTAACACCCTGTATAAAATTCTAATATATTTGTTATACAGTGGTGTTCCATCAAATTGGATCCATATTGGAATGGAAAAAAAGTCGTAGGACATTTCAGTCAAATTTAGTGTTTCATTTTAATGCCAATTTGACATAAATCCAAAGTCAGTAACTGTTCAAATACCATTTGAACACTAGAGAGTTATTGCAAGTTCAGTTAAGATCTGTCACTATTAGTGCCGCTCCTATTTTAACATCCGAGCATGCGCAGATCACTAACTTTAATAAAGAGTGTGCCTGTCCTTAATAAGAAAGTTATTGCAAGTTCACTTAAGGTCAGTCACTATTAGTGCTGCTCTTATTTTGACATCTAAGCATGCGCAGATGTTTATGTTCTAAAACTGACTTTATTAAGGATTGTGTCTTTCCTTAATTGTGGATGTTTAAGGGCAGCAGGTAGTGGCGACTTTATAGCTTTCGGATGCGCTCGGCGACATTCGTATCCGTTAGAAGTTTTTTAATATTAAATATTTAATATAATCGTCATTTAAACCCTATAAGTTTAGAAATAAGTATAAGGACGAGGATTCTAATGTCAAAATTTCAGGTTTGCAATAAGTCTGATTTTAGCATGGAATTTTTTTGACTCCAATTACGATGTCACTATTAGTGGTTGGCTTTATAGAAATTTGCAATATCACTCTATTAAGGACAGGCACAATCTTTATTAAAATTAGTGATCTGCGCATGCTCAGATGCCAAAATAAGAGCGGCACTAATAGTGACTGACCTTAAGTGAACTTGCAATAACTCTCTAATAACGACATCAAACACCTCTACACATAAAAAACAGCGCCCATCTCTAATTCAACCCAACAAATAATTATTAAAGGCACAATGAATATACTATTCATAATACACATCAACGTAAAATGGATTGCATATCGACCAGACCAATCAAATTTAAATAATATTCAGTTATTAAGTGGAGAGGGAAAACATGCAACAGATATACTTTTAGAGGTAAAACAACGGCAGATGGCCATTAGCATTCACGTTGGTGACATCTCAAATTTGAAACATTTACTTTTTAAATTGTAAAAGATAATGTTGGAATTAACAAAGTTGTGCTTATGTTTGAAAGTGTTTTACTACAGCCAAGCTGCAACACCCAGGTAACCCGTCCACTCCACGAAGAAGCAGTATTTATAAGGTTAGCTCAAAATTACAATAGCTAGGCCGCCAAACTAGAGAGGCGATAAGGTAAAGTACACAAACCCCTCATCGCCCCAACAGTAACCACCTTTAATATGGGCATTTTTCAGTTTTTAAATAAGCAGAGGCAATTATTTTACGAAGTTTTTTTGGAAATCGTAATATTAAAAAAAAATCCCATATGCATCCAACTTTATGGAATACAGTGTAATACCCTTGAAAAAGTTCGTAAAATTAGTTAAAGCCAAAATTGACAGCTGCCTACAGCTGGCGAGAAATATTTAAATCCAATATAATAAAATTACTCACATATATAATATTTGTTACATTTCTCTTCCAGGTTCCGAGTGGCCAAGACCTCTGGATCTTCGGCTCCATGTCGTTCTTCCTCACCGTCAACAGCTGCATCCTGGTCTGGTGTAAACGCGGTTTCGAAAGCAAGCTCATCTGGGCCGCGGTGCCGCATCTCTGTTGGCACGTAGCCAATGCGCAAGTCCTCATCGCGCTGTTTCTAAAGAAGAACGAAGTGACGCCAAGAGACAGCTTGGGATGGGTCCTGCTGCTGGACTACTTTATTTACGTAACGTTGCCAATCAGGTTGAGATACTGCATCATTTTGAGTTTGGGAACGTGTGCTTCCTACACTGCTGCTTTGATAGGATTGTCGAAGTCGGATTTGCATCTATATCGACAGGTGAGCAGTAGCGTGTGATCCACACACAATTTTTATAAAAAATATCATAATCATGTCAACTACGTTAATTTTTAATTTGTAAGGAAATAAGAAAACATATTTAAGAGTTTATATCAAAAACCAGGTTTTCCTATTGTAGTAACATACGTTAATAGCTATAAATGAATTAATAAAGGTACCACAGTAAAAACATTACTAGCAGTAAGGTACACAGTTAATATCTTTAGGAATTAAAATCAGTAACTGTAAGTAAATAGTTCTGTAACAGTCTACTGTCATAAAACTAATTAAAGGGTTCGCTAACCTCGTTTTACCCACCATAAGTAAACATTTTACTTGTCCCATATAGTATACTATTTTTTATTTGCTGTAAGTAAAGGTTCGCTAACAGTTAGTAATTTTTTTTCTTGAATATTTCGTATATTTGTGAAAATTGATGTTATAGAATTGGACAATGATTAGTAAGTATAAGTGTAAATTCTAACAAATATCCTGCATTTTTAAGTTTTTAAGCAATAACAGTATTTGTTTACAATAGTTATAATAGTATGCTTGTAATAGACGTCAACTACAAACGTCCAATCTTCATTCTCTATATCCTATATTGTAAGCAAAAACTAGATCTGACTGTTTTTATAATACCATAATTGTGGTTATTAGCAAACGAGTTAGAAAAGTGTGGCTAACTATTCCCCTTTTGTCAGTTAACCCTTTATCTACATACTAGCTCTATCTCGCAACCCCCTTAGGGGAAACTGGCCTAAAATGACATACTCGGGTAAAATGACATATCGACCACATTGCTACTTTAAGACGTGACAACGTCGCCCTAAATAGCTAATTGCAAATCTTTTTCATCCGTGACCACAGTCAAGTTTATTTAGCATGGCAGGCGGCACGCGTCTGGACTAAATACCAAAAAGTCGCTTTTCTCGATCAAAAAAAATATTTGTGTGGTCACCTAACTTGGCTGTAATAATTTATGAGGAGCAATAAGCCTAAGTTGACTTAGTACAGGTAAACAAATAGACTTTTTTTCTTTATTTTAATGTAATTAAACCTTTAATTTATTTGTTTTATATATTTTTTTAAATACTTTCTAAGGAATAATTGTTTTGGGTAAAATGACATACACCATATTGGGGTAAAATGGCATACATGTCATTTTAGGCTCCTACTACTTTATGGTCACGTTAGCCACAAACAATTAGCAGTTATCCATTTATTATACTCAGGCAATTACAAAGTGGCTCAAGAATAACCCTGGTCGAATTGTACCTTCCTTTGAAGTAGGAAAGCTATTTGCTGAAGTCTATGAACGTAGTGCAACAATGGAAAATTCCGTTAGTAAGTTCAAAAAACTGGAATCAATTCGTTCAAAGCAAATATTTTTCTCTATTGGGTGTTTGCTGCTTCTTTAACAATATTTCTTAACAAAATGATCTCGAATCACAAACACTAGACCACCAGCCTCCACTTACACCCCTACTACCATCAGAAGCTACTGAGATTACGGACTTACCTGGATCATCAAATACCTCTCAAATAACTCTAAATAAAGAAGGTATACTAGACTGTAGTCAAATTTTCGTAAAGAGCATAATTTCAATACCAAAGGTTTCCACGTCTTTTAAACGTAAAAGACAAGGAACGCTTATGCTAACCACAACACCAAACTTAGAAGAACTCAGGGTAAAAGAGGAACAGCAACGTTTAGTCTTGGAGCGACAAGCAAAACGTAACCAGCTTAGAATCAAGCTGTGAGACGATGAAGATGAACAAGAAACCTAATACCCATTTGCTGGGATTGAAGATGATGAGGAAGACAATGCATGTAATTATTACAACAGCCTTTATTCTCAGTCGAAACCAGGTGAGCTTTGGCTGCGGTGTCAAAAATGTAAAAAGTGAAGACATGCAGAATGTGCTGGTGTTTCCCCACAAACAAAAATTTTTATTGGCGAACTTTTCAAATAATTTTTTTTTGAGCTGTTTTACATTCTAGTTGGGTATGTGGACCCGTTTACTTTATTAAAATAAAACTCTTTTGTAATGCTTCTTCATTTTTTTATTTTCAACTCTTTATAACTATGTCATTTTATCCTGGTATAAGCCTAAAATGACATAATTTAGATGCCATTGCTTCAAAATATGAAAGTTTAAGGTTTTGTGACCATAACAGGAAGCGGCATAAACTAACGACCTCATTAAATACTAAATGGATGCTTAAATAAAGTTTTCGTTTTCCAAGTTTTGTTAAAGTTTTTTCTCAGGGTATGTCATTTTAGGCCAGTTTCCCCTACATATATCAGCCTTGCTTTAAAAACATTTTTTCTATCCTAGTACTTACTTAAAATCAAACGTTAATTGTATACCAACCAAACATTTTGTGTATGGGAATAAAAGGCCCAATTGTAATGATGGCTTTTTAACTTTTATAGTTAAAAAGCCAGAATATACAGGTCACTACGGCCGATAGTCAGACTGAAGTTACTTAGCCATCAATTTTAATTAATAGGACTCCATTTTCATTTTGATGTCTAAAAATAAATATATTTGCAATTAATGGCCAAATGGGAAGATAACGGGAAATTGCAGGACTTTTACCATATTATTACTGACTGCTGAATAAAGGCAATATACCTGTAGTACCGTTTGAACTATGAATTCTATACTGAAACAGAAGCCATTCCAGTAATGAATATTGTAAACATTTTATTTAATTGGTCTATACAATATAATAGAGAAAAAAATGTCTTCTACAAAAAGTATATTCATTAATTATTCTAAATTAACAACACGTAAAAGTAAGAAATTACAATGAATACTGAGAATAGCAGCAATGCGAAATTAAAAACATTTCTAATCGTTGAATATGTAGCAATGGTCATCGGTGTCTCCATCTATGAATGCGGGACGGAGCTTTCCTGGACTGTTGGAATTAGGTATGCGACAGTTAAAAGCATGTGGCTTTTACCATGCTTTTACCCAATACAGTTACTTATCCTGTATAAAGCCATCATCAACCAACATAATGTTGGGCCACTAAGGTAAAAGGTAAGGTAAAAAGTAGGCCTTTATATTTTAATCGTCGCATTAATGTTCCCTTCAATTACAGCAAAAGGCCAGCAATATCCCAAAAATTCATTGTTTGTTGTGATATTACAACTCCGACACTCGCTGTCATTATTCTTCTTTTATATCAATACATCTTTTATATCAAAACAAATTACCAAAATTACGAAAAATTATCGAAAAATAACAAGCAAATAATAAACAAATAATTTGTTGACTTAAATTTGACCGTAGGTTTATTATATACGAGGTGATCAATAAAGTCATGAAATCAAAAAATCAATGTGTAATTTCGAATGGCCAGCAGTATATTTGGAAATTTTGGCGCTTTTAAGATCTTAATTCAACTGTAAAGGCAAAGAGGTAAAGAAGATATTCTTGTTTATGAAAATTTATAGGTATTTGTTTATTATAAATAATTTTTGTGACATTTTCAGAGTAAACAAATCAGAAAACAAACTACTGCACTCCCTTTATCAACAAAACTTAAAAGCTTTTAATGATAGTGCACTAAAAATAATAATATTGATAGTATGTATTTATATAAAAGTGTCAAATTGTTTGGAAACTTCTAATGAAGTAACCCAATGATAATTGTTGTCTATGGGTGGGCAAATTCTCGGGTGGCATAAAATTGATCGCGTACACCTGTTCGAAAACATTTGATGGACAAAACAATTTATCGAATAACAAATTAATCAAAATAAAACTGATCGCAAAGAAAATTGATCGAAAATAGATTTGATAAAAAAAGCAATTGATCGAAAAACCAAATTTACCGAACCTGTGTGGCCTAAAGCCACTGCAGGTTGCTTGGCAAAAAATATACGAAAAATAAAAAAATTACTGCATTTACCTAACCTGTTCGTGAACGATCGGTTAAATTTAAATGGCCCCAGGCCTCATAGGTTAGGTAATTTATTATTTTTTTTATTTTTCTCATTTTTTAATATTTTTTGTGTGACGCAACCTGCAATGACTCCAAGCTGTACAGGTTAAAACTAAAAAATCATTTACATAGCATTTATCCTTCTTACTGGGTACTTGTAAAAGAATTACTCAGAGAACCTGCTGTTCAAAAATTTAAAATAAACCAAATAACCAAATATTAAAAAAAAAAATTAAAAAAAATACAGACATAAATAGCAACCTATTGAACCCTGTTGTCGTTTTTCTAACGGATGTGAGGACAACGATCAATTATTCATAGAAAAAAATTGCTAGCGTTATATTACTTATTTTGTTCTATTCTTAATTGCATAAATACCGTTTTCCAATGCACTATTCGTTTGACTTTTTTATAATATACTATTTTTAATGTTGATTTTTGATATATTATCCTTTCGGTGTAATGAATTTTAGATCTATCTATTGTCTTTTCGGTAAAATGTTATTCGATAATATATATTTTAGATCAAATTTTTGACTTATCGTGCGGACAAAAACGAGACATCGGAGTGACAGAAGAACATTTTTAAAAGTTGTTTAAAATAATGAGAAGGATTTAAATTGGGACCAATATTAAAAATTTTGGTTTCTTGTAAGTAAACCTTTAATAATCTTCACATACTATAACAACTGAGGTGATTCTAAATGACCCTCTTTAATAATTGGTCTTGTTATAGTCGATATACATGGTGTTTGAATAGTGTTCTTTATTTATTCTGTTATTCGTAACTTGGGAACAACCAGTAGATTTTTTTGACGTTTGGTACATTTGTCATCCGTATCTTATCGGAAAAAGTAAAGAAATTCAATTCCGATTTGACTCAAAATACACAAATTCTTCTACCCTCAAAACAACATCACTGTTTATTTAACTTTTTATAATTCGTTTTTGTATTTAAAAAGAACACAAAAATCAAAATTCAACAAAAATCAGGCCATTTTCCAGCTTACATTATTTTAAGTTCAAATTCTCTTTTCTGAGCACTTTTTTGGTA